TACTCACTACATTACTGTTTACTTCCCTCTGTCAGCAGCAGATGGCAGCATCGTATCATCTACCCCTTAAACACTAAGCTATATGCATTATTGGTAACTGTTTTTATAATAAAATGATCTCCCACCTACTGCCAAGCTTAAACATTGCATACGCATAACAATTCAGTGAATATGTTGTGGTACAATGAGGAATGAGTCACTTCAGTTCTTCAAAGGAGTGCACAAGAAAGGGTGGGAACATGTAAAAAAGAAAAATGACAAAAAGAAACCCTCTCCCAGGCTTTCCTTTGATCAACACTATAATTTAATTACCTGCATACCAAAGAGAGCCTTTATTTGGATATTCAGTCTCAGTCGTCTCATTTGCTCCGTGGCACAGTCAATTCAAAGACAAGGGAAAATAATAACAATAATAATTCTGCACTTGCTCCATGAAAGTTAAAAACCATGTTATTGGTAATGTATGATTATTATAGTGTAGCTTGATTGAATCATAAACAAAAAGACAAAACAATTAAGGCATATAACGTGGCTATTTTATCCTTGAATTATTGATCCGAAATGACACGTAAATTCTTTAAATATTTGCTTTAAAAAAACAAGTAAATGAAAGGCTGATGTTAAGATATCATGCCTTTAATTGTAGCCTCTTGTTTGAATAATGGAATATGGCATTTTAGTATTAAACAACATGAATCCCAATCATTATAGATTGTATGAAACTATTTGAATAAATAATACTTAACAAAATATATGCATTACTTGTAAGGCCTACACATCTAGCACAGTGCATATATCACCAATAAATAAATAATAATACAATAATAAAACAAAAAACTGAAAGGGGACCTATCATGCAAAATGCACTTTTTGATGTCTTTTATACATAAATATGTGTCCCCGCCCCGGTGTGTCGGGGAACTCACGCAGCGTCAGAAAATAAAACCCTCTCTCTTTTCCTCCGTACCCAAATCTCTAAAAACGGGGGTACAACGGAGCTGATCCAGATTTGCGTCCGATATGACGCAATATCGGAAACGTAGGCTGGCTTTACGCCCACGGCCCTATCAGAAACGTTGCTATCAGAAACAATGCCCGACTGTTTTAGCATCACTAACACTCAGAGCTAACCTGTACTGGAGAGCATGTGTGTGAAGAAGCAGGAAATAAAAAGGAACTCACCTTGTGGTATAACCGGCAAGAGAGAAAGCCTTTGAGCTCCATACTGTTTCAGAAATAATCCTTGATAATCCATGATATGGCGTTTCATCACCGCAATATCTGCCGGTAGCATCTCCCGCATGAGCTCAGCCCCCTCCTTTTTTTTTTAATCAAATCCTTTTTATAAAAAAAAAAGCTTTATACCCCAAATCAGCACTTTTGAAACAGGAAGTGAAATTGAGGCATGGCTAGAATGGGTGATCTGTTTGATATTTGGAGCAAAACACTTCATAGACATGTTTTTTATATTTTTGTATATATCTGAGACCTATGCTATTGCCTAAAAATAGCATGATAGGTGACCTTTAAGAAACACCACAAAATTAAACCTGTGAAATGTGTTGTCTAGACCGGGTCCTAAACCCTCTACGCTCCCACTTCCTCTCCATTTGAGTGTCTGCTTGGATAGTCGCCACATAAAGTGCCCTTTCAAACTAACTAGTTCGTGGGAGTTATAAAACCCTCAAACAGGAAGTCTGCATCGGTCCTGATTTACCAGCTGTCCTACCTGACCATGTACAAAATGAGACAGACATTTAATATTGTCCTACAGATGTAAACGACTTTCATTCTTTTATGTAGGATCATACTGTATACACCCATGTCTAGTGTAGAAAAATGGTTGACGGGTTCATTTGATTGTAAAGTCTGTATTAGGCCCAAGAGAACTGGAACTTAAGTACTTCCTGGGTCATTTTACTCCATGAGGAACCTTCCTATAAAGGCCATTCCATCCTGGCAGAGCATGGGCCTCAGCTGGCTGTTAATCTTCATTAGCTCAAGTCAAACACTTCCTCTCATCCTCTCTCTATGATCTCCCCAATTTCCTGCTCTCCAGCCCACTCCCTCAGCTCCTCTGCTTCCCGCCGAGTTCCTCGCATCTTCCACGTTTTCCTACAGGAATGTGACGGATTGAAGACCAACGTGTGTGTGTGTGTTCCAGCCCCTGAAGCACACACTAACTCTGTGGTTTAAGAGCTTCTTGTATCTTCAAAAAAACATTCACAGGGTGCTGGCAAATGGCCTGCTGATTGTCTGCATAATGCATTAACCGGCTATATTTGATCCAAATATGACCTGAATTACAGAAACATCGCCATTGTTCTGATGTTTCATTGAGCGTGACACTCTTATTTTCATCCGCAAACAATGTCTTTGTGTTTGGGCTATTGATCCAGTATCACTGATGTCTCCTCACTATAAATAGTGTGTTATTGATTGTGGGATTTATTCATGTGTTATTTATTCCCTGCATGCAGCTGAGAGGCTTCATGATTTTGAAGGTTTTCTCAGAAAAAGAAGAGTTTGTCAAGGTTACCTGGAAACATGGTTATCATGACCAGGTCACTCTTGAAAAAGAGATTTTAATCTCAATCAGACTTTTACCTGGTTTAATAAAGGAAATATATACAAACAGTGGTGAAATCAGATGTTTTACTTAAGTAAAAGTAGCAATACTAAATTAAATACTCACTTATAAGTAAAAGTCCTGTATTCAAAGTCTTGTACTTTGTTATGAGTGGTGGCCCTTTTCAAAATGTATAATAAATTATTTGATTATTATTATTGATGCATTCATGTGTTCATAACAGCTGGTAAACGTGAAGCTAACACTATATGAAAAATATGTTTATTTTTTAATTCAGCTAATAATCTGAATGTGTAAACTAACTAAAGCTGTGAAATGAATGTAGTGAAGTGAAAAATACAATATTGTCTCACAAAATGTGGTGAAGCAAAAGATAAAATTAAATTACTCAGGTACCTCAAAATTGTACTTAAGTACAATACTTAGAAACCACCACTGGTTATAAGTAATGTATTGTTCATCAAAACACACCAAAATGTGCTCCTTAACCCTTTCATTTGATATTTGTTGCACATTACTTTGTCTTCAGAATTGCTTGCATGCATTAGTAAAAAAAAAAGAAAGCAATACTCTGATGTGGAAGAATAACATGTTGCCTTGAATCCACTGTCAAATTGAAATGGATTGAATGCTTCCGGTGGCAACGTCGGCCTTCAAACCTCCACACTTGTCTAAATGTGTTGTCTAACTGTGGGGATCTTACCTTGAATTTGAAATGTTCCTGGGCGAGGGTTGATGTATCGGTCATCTTCAGACACTCACTTTGTCCCCAGCAGCACCAAACTCCTCAATATGTGTGCACAACCATCGAAATACACATAACTCCCTGGCTGCTTTCTAAAAGTGATTCTATACGAGGGAATAAAATAAAGTAAACATCTAGGAAAAAAATCCTGAGCTGCAGACAGTACAGGCCACACGCTGACAATAATAGAGGTGTAATATTATCTATCCATGGGCAGGTTCCACAGACTGAGGGCAGTTTATTGTATGCCTTGCCTGAACCTCACAATCAATATTTAATAACAGACTTAGAGGACTGCTGCAGCGATGAAAGGGAAAGATGCCCTAATGTGCCGCAGAGCACATAATGTACAGCAACGTGGATATTGGAGGTATGAAGTTATAAAAGATAACAAATATACCGTTCTAGCTTCGGTTTAGAGTGAGGGTAGGGGGTCAGATTCATTATTATATCCTTCAAAAAGCAGCCAGTGTTGTTCTCGATCTTCCCATACACATATTTTTGAAAATATCTCACTAAGAAAAAGAACCACATCTTATTGAAACACACAGCTTTGATACCTGTGAATGAAAAGGTGAAACTTTGACCTTTGACTTCTCTTTCCTCTCTCTGTACGGGGGTGGGGGGGGGATGCAGTTGTGACGGTTAGACAGTGCGGGAGTGGAATCGAACACAAAAAGGACACACAAGTGGACAGGCCTCGCCCAGGACAGCGGACAGCACGGGGTGGGGTGGGGGGCGTCCCCTAAGGAGGGAACGCTAACTACGGCCAATAACTCAAATATAGGTTTGCCTCTTATTCAAAGAATCTGCCAAATCCAGGGTGAGCTAAGGTAACAGCTGAGAGCACATTTTGTAATAAAGAATAACAAATGTTTGCAATTCTCAGTGGAAATATAAAAAGAAAAGGGGCTTTGTAAGTCAGATAAAATGAAAAAAGAAATGGCCCTTTAAGGAATAATTCAATATTTTGGGAACAATTCACAAAGTTGCTGAAAGTTAGATGAGAAGATAAATACCACTCATGTTGTTTGTGTGAAAAGGTATTTACATACACATTATCCTGTGTCAATTTCAAGTAATAAATATTTTCATTCAAATAAAACTTGGTAAAGTCACTATGAAAGGAACAAATGCTTAGGTACAAATAATGAACCATTGACTAATAACACATCTTATTAACTATCTGTAATTACCCATCATATGTTATTCTCCTCTGCAGCAGTATAAAGGAGTCCATGGTACAGATCTTACCCTCGGTTTGTGATAAGGCATATTTCCCAAAATGGCAAACTATTCCTTTATAGCTGAAAAAAGTGAATGTGTTTCTTTTGACTGGTGCCATTTTTGTTGATATTATATATGGGGTAAGTTTGGCTCTTTTCAACGTATTTCTGAACTGTCACGCGGCGACTTGGGCTACACAGTAATATACATACAAACACTTCGATGTATATTTACTATGTTTAGTGAGAACAGCAGAGTGAGTTGGGGATGGAGTCAACTTTACTGTGGTAAAAAACAAACAAATGTGAACACGAGGGTAAAAGATAGAAATGAACGAGAGACTATGAAAGAAATCGAAAGAGAGAATGGCAGGGAGAGGTTGTGAAACAGTACAACATCAGACAGCCACTGGAACATAACAACACAGAGAGAGACAAGTATTAGGAAAAATGGTTTAATATAGGAGACAGAAGCAAAAAACTGCATCACACAAGAACATACGTTTACAAAAATAATTCTGACTGCTTCAGCTACACAGTTGGTTCACAGAGAAGGACAGAGAAACCGGAAAAATCTAAACAGCTAAAAGCAAAACGTTTCTAATTAGTTGATCTCTTCATTAAACTAATACATTAATCCACTGAAGGTGACTAAATATTTCTATACCTTCTTTTTCTATAATTGTCTTATCGTGTAGACGGCACAATACAGAAGTCAAATGAAACTTACCGCTGTTGTATAGACAAACTTGCTAGAACTATTTAAAAAGCATAAATTAAAGATCTGACACTCACCTACACTCCGTTTTTCAGAAAGAAATAAAGACTGAAAGGAAGGCAGAAAGAAAGAACAACACTTAAGTGAGGAAAAAGAAGTGAAAGAAATAAAGCCAAAGATCTTCTAGAAAATCTTATATCAAAAGCCAACGTTCTCGATGCCAGCTAGAAATCAAACTCGGGGACCAGTCAGGGTCAGGCCACACCACCAGGCCAGACAGCTTTTTTCTAAGATTTTTTTGTTGTATCCTTTAATCTCCAGTATAAAAAATTCCACTGGTACAAAATGCATAAGTACAATCAGTTGTAGAAATAGGAAAGCCTGCATTTTTTGTACTTTTTAAATCCCATCCAGTGACAGATTTCCAAGTGTTGTCAAACAAACATACATCACGCTTACAGGATCCACTGAAATGCATTGACTTTGGCTTCTCTCAAGACAATTTGAAACTACTGAAAACCTTTTTGAGAATTAAAAGAAACAAACCAAAATAAAAATATTGGATAATCTCTACAGACAACAAGCTCTTTTTTTTACGTCACGGAAAGACACAAAACATTTTTCCTCAAAAAACTCGACATAAGCCATAATGCAAAGAAACGACAAGTTCAATTTTTTTTTTCTTTCAAATTTCATTGTTTGATAAATAGCACTTAAGATAATTAAGAAAGAAGGAGAACAGAGAAGTGACGAGATAGAAAGATTACAACGAGCATCGGCGATGAAAGCCCCTGAGGTGAGCCGCTCCACAGGAACTCTGCTTTACGACCCTTTTGTGCTTCGACATTTAAACAAAGACAAGATGCTTCACACTTGACGTCAGGCTGTGTGCAACTCTGTGAGATTTGGCAACATTTTTTTGGGGGGGACATCTAAAACGCCTGTACCCGCACACACAGCCATAGAGTAACGCAGATTGTGTAGCCTCCACCATTAAAGTTACGTGAATTGTGCGAAAGTGAGATGTGAATCGTAGATGCTGCAGCGAAAAACGATGCGAAACCCTGCACACGCGCGAGTCAGAAAAAAGTGGTCCATTAACACTGATTAACCAGCTTTCATACAGGTAGTTATGGCTGTTTGTGGCTCATGTGTAGGCCTACTGCATTTAGGAGAAAGAAAAGTCTGCTCGCCTCCCTCCACTAAAGTTTGGGTATGAGAGGATATGAAAGCCTCCATCTCAGGCTGTTGTTTAGCCAGCGTGGACGTGACCCTTCCTCTCCAACCAACAAGCGCTTTATTTCCCCTGTCGCTAGTCTAATAATACGACGCCGCTTCTAACTCCGGTTAGCTTGGGAGACAACAAGCAGACGAAGAGCGGCTTCCTTCCTCGAGGTCATTTCACGGAGGAAATAGAAAAACTTTGACGAGTGGGAGGCTAACTGCACACACAAGTGAATAGACTTGGCACACATCACTGACAACATCTTCTACTCTTGTAATACTGATACGACGCTCCCTGGTTAAGGCGACTGGTGAGCTTCTGTAGAAAATAATGCTGCCTTTTCTTTCTTTTTTTTGCAGACCGTAAACTAGGCTTTCAGGGAGGGGGATGGGGGGCAGTTGAATAGACTGACAACACTGTGCCATGTAAACGGCTCGACTACGAGAACACACTTTGGCATCTAAACATGATTTTGGCCCATTACACCACACATATGGAGTAGTCTCACAACCACTTATAAAAGACGTGAAAGGATAATAAATCAAACTTGCTCCGGAACGTCCCGCCTCTTTTTTTTTTCGGACGACGGCGTGTGCTTTTTTTTTCTTACCTCAAGAGATCGAGTTTCGTTTTTTGTGCGAGCGAGTCTTACCCTGTGCTTACATCATGAAAGCTAGCGTTCTCGTATGAGGTGATACACAAAAGTAATGATCCTCGCCGTCTCAGAAATGTTTTCAACTCAACTGAAGAGGATTTTAGAATAAGGCGTATGACTCTCACCTCCATTTTATTTTTTTCGGCTGAGGAGCGGGACAGTGCGAGAAACCAATCGAAAGAAAGCAATCCAAACAATACGAAGTGACGCCTGTGTGCGCGAGATACTAATAGAGAGAGAAAAGGAGTGCAACAATTTGTGATAAGGCTTTGATGAATAAAACGGCTGTACAATGGCTAAAAATATCAGTGCGTGTGTGTTAAAGTGTGTTTGTGCACGCTGGCGGGCGGTAGCTGTGGCTGTCGAGGCGTTCACACTCAGGGGCTCTCATGCACAACAAGAAAGTAAACTGTGAGGTCTGCACGAGAATGTGTGTGTCCGTGTGTGCGTGTATATAGATATATATATATATGACACATGGGCACTTTTTTTTACATCTTTACAAAGAAAAAAAGCAAACATGACATTTTCAGGCAACAAGACCACAGAATAGCAAGTTAACAAACTCTTTTTTAAATCTATATTTTTAAATATGAGGGATCCATACAAAACACTTATAATAAAATACCCATGTTATCAAATAATTTCACAAGAAATACACTGACGCGCTAGGCAGGAAGTACCTTCAGAATTTGGCACTAAACTCCACTGATCTTGTCTTTTTTTCATTATAAGACATTTTGCTGAACAACAAAACACATCTAAATATTGTTTCCCACGAGAGAAATAAAATAATAATGACATTGATGCTTCACAAGCTGACATTATATATATAGATATATTTATATTTATATATATTTTTAGGAATTTTATATAGCTAATTAACCAACAAGAAATTTAGCAAATAGGGACTCCTTCAAAAAAGAAGTAACAAAAAGAAACAAATCAACAAAGTAACTATTATAGTAATATGAAAGGCTTTGTCTATTGTTCAAGTAAACTGATTTTTTTGTCTTCTCTTGAAAAACATGAGACATTTAAGACCGTTAGACTTGTGATGAAACCACAACTAAACTCACGAGAAGCACCGACGTTAACGCAGGTTACAAGTATCTTAGTATTTTTTTTTCCTCTATACATTTAAACAGTAGAAAATATAGGTCATTTCATCATGTGCATTTAAACCACGGATTGTCTATCTGTGAGTCAGTTCAGCAAAAGGTGACACAAGTAGGTAGCATTTCTCCCACCCAAACAGGGCAAATGTCTTTTTTTATTTTTACCTTTAAACTACTCTAGAAAAAAGTGGTTCTATATATAGACTTTGAATGAGAAACAGAGCCACTTAAAATGGCCTTATCAAAAAACTTTACACTGCCTGAAAAATGTAAAAACCATTGGAGAGCTCTGAGAGAGTCTAATATTGATCAGACAGTTTTTATTCAAAACTGTTTGGAAGTAGTCTTATTTTTCAGAGAAACTGGCGCGGACTGCTTCTGGCGGACTGTTTTTCATCGGCGCCAGAAGCAAGATGACGCGCCAATTCCTGTAGTGAACTTTCAAGTTTACTTTAAATGAAGAATAAAAGAAAGGAAAAACTGACATAAAGAAGAAGAAGAGGCAAAAGAAAATGCAGGAAAACATACTGAATGGAAATCACTTTGCCACAGGTTTTTTTTTCTTCCAAAAAGAACATTTGTTTTTCCGTAAAAATCTCAGTCTTTTTTGTTTTTCATATGAATGCAGCTTTATATCTTTTTCACATTGATTCATTTTCTTGCCCTCCCCTCCCTTGTTGCCTCCCTGAAACCCTCCCCAGAAAACAGATCCAAATGAGGTCACATGCAAAAAAACACAAAAAAGAACGGGAAAAAAAATCATACAAATCCAAAAAAGCTAAAAGTTCAAAAGGTCAGTAGGCAGCGGAGGAGGAGGAGGAGAACCAGGTTATGATCAGGTGAGCTCGGAAAAGACATCAGAAAAAACAATGACGGGGGAGGAGGACGATGACACTTTTTTTTGGAGGGGATTTTTTTGTTTTTGTTTAAAGTTTTTTTTGTTTGGACGCCACGGAGACATGCTAGGCAAACGATGAGCTAACAGGCATGGAGATGGGTTGTTCTAAAAGGGGGAAAGAAAAAACAGGGGAGAGGAGAGAGTTACACACAGAGAGCCAGAGCACCACAACACTACAGCCTTTTTGTGAAAATCAGGAGAAACAACAACAACAAACAACAACAATGCAAACCAGCAGAACAGCAACACAACTCACACTGGCAATTTTTTAGCTTTGATTTTTTTTATCATTTAATGTTATAGGTCTATGCTAACAACACACACACACACACACACACACACACACACACACACACACACACACACACACACACACACACACACACACACACACACACACACACCACACACACACACACACACACACACACACACACACACACACACACACACACACACACACACACACACACACACACACACACACACACACCACACACACAACAGAGACCACCCAAAGCTTTATCCATCAGATCCCAGATGGATATTGTCATTTGGGAGAAAATAGTCATATTTTTTCAGGGAGAGGGGGAAGGGAGACTTCAAATTTCTTTCCTTTTTTACATGTTCTAAATCTTTGTAAGGGGGGGGGGAGGGGCTACGTACAAACAAAAAACGCAAACACTCAAAGTAAAAAAATTGCGAGGACAAAGGTAGAAATTCGACAAGTAAAGAAGTAGTCCCACTACGGATGGAGAGAGGGAAAAAAGAGAGATGGATGGATGAATGGATGATCGATTAGCACAGAGTGTGTGAATGAATAAATGACACAGGGAGGGAAGGGGGGGTTGCGGTTTGAATGGCAGCGGAGTGTGTTGTGATTGTGGTTTCTGCACTAAAAAAACATGAAAAAACACAGTAGAACCCAAATTCCACGAGACTTCTCCACAAGGGTCTACTTTAATGATGCTGTATACTTTATAGGAGTCCAATAACTTAACGATAGGCAATAAATAAAATCCTTTTTTTTAATCTGAGGCAGTAAAAATGTTGTATAAAAATAGAACTGCTTTTTTTACAAATAAAATTTACAGGCCTGTGGCTTTCTGTACTTTGAATTATTTTTTAAATCTCTCAACAGACATCAAGTATTTGCAGCTACTACCGTAACCCATAAACTCTTATATTATTGGAATTATCATTATAGTCTTCATCAAATTCTGGATGTTGTTTTGAAAATGCTGTTATATGTATTTTCACAACAAAGACCAATGTGATCTGACCCAGAAAAGTAGTTACTATTTATTTTTTGTCACCTTCTGAGAAATAAAAAACTGTATTTTTTCACATAAATAATAAGGTGCTAGTGTTGCTTTTTCTTCTTCTTTTGTTGGTGGAGTGTAACTGACTATAGTGTAAAGAGGCCACTGTTTTGCAGCCTTTGCTCCCGGGTTGCCAACAGGCATAGAGGGGAGAAGCAGCGGCGGCCTGCACCCAACACCGGAGGTCAAAGGTCGAATGTGCATATCGGCATGCGTGTAAAAATAAAAATGAACCCTTTGCCAGGCCTCAACGAGAGAGAGTGGGAAAAAAAAGGTTTAAAAATCGTCATGGCTCCTTTGTCTTTACCTCAGTTCCGACTGTAACTAGTCCTCAAAAATGTATAAATAATCATTGAGAAATAAAAAAAATTCTAAACAACATTTTAGAAAAGCTACCCAAGATCGCTATTTTCGATCCATTGTAAAAAAAGAAAAGAAATTGCACAAAGTAATGGCGGTAATGGAAGCGTTCATGTGTGTCAAAAAAAAGTGTAATAAATTATAATAGTTGAAAGCTAACACAAAAATCTTTAAAAAAGCAAGAAAAAAAATAAACAAGGCGTGTGTGTCTCCCTCAGGGTGGTTGTAGGTCGTCTTCCCCTCCCTCCCACATCCCTCCCCCATCCCCCCCCCCCCCCTGTACAGAGAGGTCGTGGCTCGGTTTGCTGTTTTTTTTGTTTGTCATTTTCACCTTTCTTTGGGGGACTTACCCTAGCAGTGCTAACATGGGGAGCAGATAGACCCTAGTGCTAAGATCAGTACGGTTTGCTGTCGTTCTTGGAGCGCTTCAGCTGCACCTTCAGCCGCTTCATGCCGATCTGGAAGCCGTTCATGGCCTGGATCGCTGCTTGCGCCGACACAGGATTGTCATAGCTGACGAAGCCTGAGAAAACCAGAGAAAAGTGGAGAGTTGGTGAAAAAGTAGCCGATATGAAACTTGACATAGGAAGTTTACTAGCATTAAACTTGCAACATTAAGTGTCTTAAAACATTCAATTATTTAAAAAAGTTATAAAAATAGGTTTGGTTATTTTAAGTTGCATGAGTGAATGTCTAGCTATTATGCTATTATTTGACTTACAGTGTCTCATTTTGGATATGTTTCTTAGTACACTGTCATGCTGTGCTCTGTGAACACTTGAGCAGTGCGTACTAGTGATGTGTCGGTCGCAAACGAGCCGGCTCAAAGAGCCGGCTCTTTTAAGTGAACGACGGGAGCCGGCTCGCGCCCGCGAACGAGCCGGTTGTTTTTTTTTGCGGAGGGATCTAGATCGGCATGAAGGCACATTATGCAATGTGCACATTATCCCGCTTATTACATGGCCACATTCTCAACAAATTAACGACATGACTCCCAATATTAATTGAAATGCTTTTATGGATTTAGAAAATGATTTTATTGATTTATTGAGTTGTATGTATTTAAATTGACATGCATCCGCTAAGAAAAATAGTCCGTTGTTACTGTTTGAACTAACGTAGCAACGGCAGGAACTGCTTCGAGAGTGTTTTTGAGGAGCTTTTTGTTTACAGATTTGAAAACATCGTTGCTTGCTTTAAAAGTAGCACAATTCATTATGTCAAACTTTGGAAAGTATCTAGATATCCCTGCCCTAATGCCAAAGTAACTGGCAACTGAATATGTGTCGCCGTTTGATGTCTATGTCTGGACCGCTGCGTAAAAAGGAGGGTTTCTGCCCCATTACTTCTCTTCTTACTTCAATAAGAATAAAACACAGAGGAGGGAGATCTATTTTTCTCCCCCTCTTCTGACAGCCCAGCAGCTGATCTCAGAGCACGCTGCCCTCTCCTGCAGGGGGGCGTGGTCAGCTGCAGCTCACATAATCATATATATACTTTATATAGATATGGCCCTACAATATATTGTTCAAATATAGCATGATAGGTCCACTTTAAGTAATACAAGACAGAATGATGATGATGATCTCCGCGCTACAGCTGCTCCGTGCATGCATGCAGGTGACATGTAATATCCAAGGATTAGAGACGGTTGGATGCTGCTGTTTTGAGCATTGCAATATATTTATTTTCACTATGTTATTTATTTATGATTATCCTTAGGCTCAGCAAAGATTTGATGTCAGCTGTTGCTGTCTTTTTTCTATAGCTAATAGTTACTGAAATAGAGCCCTGCTGTTTTGTCAGGGCCTTTTCTTTAAATATAATTTTAAAATGTCGATACAGTAGCCCCTTTTTTAAAATAGTTTTTATAGGTGTTGCTATCTGTTTTGTGTAGCGTGGTTCGACAAGCAAGTCAGTGCATTCATTAGGTGGTATCAGAGAGTTACACGGGTCTGTAAATGCAATGAAAACATTTGGCCACAGCAAATCATTTATATTAAACATGTCATTTTTACTTTTGAATACTTCAGTACAAAGGATGTATTGAATAATTTAAGTGATATATGTGTGTACACATATAAATCATTAGTCAAAACAGGGCTACATTTGATTTAATTAAAAGGTATAATATGTGGTAAACTGAAGAGCCGTTTGGGAGCCGAAAGAGCCGGCTCTTCTTGGTGAGCCGAGCCAAATGATCCGGCTCACCAAGAAGAGCCGGAATTCCCATCACTAGTGCGTACATTTCCACCATGTCGTGGCGTCTCAAATTGCACACGGCTAATGTGCCCTCACTGGATGTCACCACTGTTAGCTAGCTAGCTAACCTTTATAAGGGTGTATTACTGTTTGATGCATAGAGAGTGTAGAGGAATTGTTTTTTGTTTACCGGATAACGTACCTTTGGACATTTAGCTTTAGCTCCAATAAATCATTTGATAGACTATTGTTTTTTTTAAATGGGCTAAGTAAAGTCAAGAGCTGAATTGTGAAAATTAGCTAACCTGTTGGCTAACAGATTACTAGCTTGAGTCAGCAAATACTATAAGGTCAGAAACATATTTAATTATTATCTTGCCGAGATGGAGGCAACTAAGCTGGTGAACAAGACCTGGACAAGCCGCAGAAAAAGTATAGATGGAGGGCGTAATGAGAGTTGTATGTTTTTGCTTGCATCCCCTAAAATGAAGAACGAATTTCCCATAATCCTCATTGCTCCCTATCTAACATTATAATTTCTGCAAGTCTGTTATGCCTTCTCTCTTTGTAGCAGATTTCCTGACACTAAAATGAAATGCAGACAGAGACCATTATAGAATGGGTCTTGGTTATACATTTATAAATAATTGTGTTATAATAAACAGGTAAAATACTACAAGAGGCACTCTCAACATCTCTTTGTCTCCAGATCTGATTTATCTGGTTTACATATACTTTACATAACACCCCTGGTACACAATAAGAAATATTCAAATGTAATGACTCCCAAAGAGGTTGTCGCATTAAAAAAGCTATTAGAGTTACTGTAAGTCAAACGCAATATACATAATAGAAAAGCAAATAGGGGGGTGTAGTGACATTTGTGAGGCATGATTCGGCAAAATCCTTAAAACAATATAGGAATCCTGAATAGATATCACAAAAACACAACTCCACAAACATTCAACCACCAACATTTTGATCAACAGCTTGACAAAGGTCACTGTTGGTCAACATTTCAGAGTAAAGGTTTTGGAGCAGAAGGGGAAGTTAAGTTGTGTTTTATGTTGTTGCTGTCTTCTACAGTATGTGCACGATTCACTTCCTCTTGTAAAATCTGGAGCTGAAACCTGACAGTGAACTACTCGTCTCGCTTGTCTCGCAGCTGTCTTCGCGATGCATTTGTCTGTCAAGTATCACTGCTGTCTGTTTGTCTGCTTCATGCTTGATTTATTCCTTTTTCCCTGAGCTGCTACGTGAGGAATGGAGATGCATTATATTTAGGTTTTGTTGTCAACATGGACAAATGCTAGGCACAGGAAATAATTTCAATCCATTTCACCCTAAAATTGAAGCTTACAAGCCAAAAAGGTTGTGCTAGGTTTAAATAGGTCACTTGTCCCAGTCCAGGAGGGGATCATGTTATCAGTTTGAATTAATGTGGCTCTCTATCAATCTTAGATTTGTCTTTAGATTCTTGTACCTGCCAAATGTTTACCTGAATAATGAGAACAACAACAGTTTGTCCTTTGCAACCCTCACTATCTTGGAGTTTGGGTTTGAGTGGTCATTAATTACAGGAATTAGTCATTTAGAGTGATACTTAATGGGACTGGTCCTGTAATTACTTGATCATTCCCTGCTTAATGTGGTGGAAAGAATAATTTGGTACTCATTTTGGAGAAAATAAAGACATTGGACTTCAATACATTGACATTTATTTTCCTAAAATCTGTTTAAACAATTTCTTGCTCATATATAAATAAAAAATACCCATAGAAAAGCATTAATATGACAGAGCATGGGACTCCAGAGGTACTTCTTCAGGAAGTGATGCCAAAAGAGCTTCATATTCAGTAGCAGATATAAAGTACCAGACAAATATATTTAAAGGCCATACTTCTTTTTAAAATAATGCAAATAATATTATGAATATATTAATGATAACCTATTTGTAACACATGTGCAAATATGTAAGTATGCTTGTGAATGTAGCTAGATTTTGTTCGGTTGAGTTTTCGAATATAAGTTTCGTTGGTAGTATGATTCACAGAGTCAGGATGATTTTTCTTAAATGGACTGCGAAGATAAAAATGTTACTGAATGTTCCACCACAAAAAAGTCATCCAAAAGTTCCATCCCGAATGCGGACTAAGCAATTAAAGAAGCGACACATATCTGCAGATGTGTGTGACACGTACCGAAGCACTTGCTCAGGTTCGTCTGTTTGTCGATGAAGACTTTGGCAGAGACCACGTTTCCAAAAGGCATGAACATCTGCAGTATGTCCTGGTCTCCAAACTCCTGGGGCAGGTGGTAGATGAACAGGTTGGCACCCTCGGGACCTGAAGGGGGGGGGGGGACATGCAGAGCGAGTGTGAGGTCATTTCTTTCACTGGCAGGCAGGGCAGCACACACTGTGGCTGTCGTCATAGGAACTGAGCCGACGCATTATACGGCGTGACCTTGGGTTTGTTATTATTTATTATTAACAACATTCTCCAATTGTATTGAACATTAAACAAAAATGAATGCTTTTCATTTAATAACATTTCCACTCTCCAATGAAAATTTCGCATTTGATTCATTCTTTCTTTCTGCTGTGCGCCGTCTCTCTTAAGAGGGGTCTTATTGCAGGTCACCCCCTCTTTTTATTACAATCATTAAATACGCTCTTCATTGCTAAATGAACCCTGTCACATCTTTGTGTTCCTGCAGGGTTTTGAACTGTCGAAGAAAGAAAGAGTCTTTACAAATGAATCGTTGTTGGATGCAGAGATGAGAAATGGACGAACAAACGTGGCTCTATTTCTTTTACAAAAAATGTGATCATCTGTTTTGTATTCAACAATGTCGTTAAAAGCTTTAGTGAGCATTTCAATTCATCTGCCAGGTTCTGTTTGGGGGTGGTACTTTGCAAAATAACTGGTATGTAGACTGTTTTCAATATATTGAATAGAGAGGTCTTATAAAACACAAATGCTCCCTTCTCTTTACTAAATGTTAAATTTTTTGGAACAGAAATATTGTGCAGTTCCTTTCAAATAAGAAGTAAAGTAATTGTCAAGTACTGAGTTATATATTTTATTTCTGGTAAATACACTCTATTGTATACCTAAAAAAAATCCAGCTTTTATTTATACTTCATCAAAAGCTGTTGAAGCATTTCCTAAGCATTATTGACAGGAAAAAACATCTTTATATTAATATATTATCTTTTAGCAGGAAACTAAACTTGGGAGTGGGAATCAAAAATAAATCCTGGTGTTTTTCCACTTCTGCTCCATTTAAAATAAGTGTGTCTTCACATATTTACTATACTGTACAAAATGTATGTGGCGCTTTACTGATATGATATTTAACTTGTGATTTGTCACTACTTTTATTAAAAGGATCATTCTAGGTTTGTTTAAATGTCTGCTGTGCCTCTCTCTGAGTTTCTCCTCCTGCTGTAAACACTGTGATGCCGACTCCCACTGAGCAGCAGTGATGTGCAGACTCGTGGCCCCGGGCTACTGACCTTCCTTCTGGCTGCCGGCGGCCCCTTGCTGCTGCAGCAGGGACTGGCTGTAGAGGGTGGGCAGCGCGGCGGCAGCGTACTGCTGGATCCCTGAGTAAGCCTGCGTCAGCGCGTCCATGGTGCCCGCCGTCCCATTGGTCAACCCTGCGCCACCCAGGCCTCCGTTAAGTGCCGCCATACCTGAGAGCATTTGAGCAACTTTACATAAAACCCAACAATAAAGAAAGAAGAGTGCACTTACTCGTTAGCGCTCCCATTTTAGGTTATGTTATTAGCACACACACACAAACATTACCAGACGTCACACACACATACAAAGACTTTACTGTAAACGTCACACACAGAAGACACATCCATAGACAGACATTAAACTGTAAACACGGGACACACAAAGTTATACTTTTAACATTAAATTACAGCTGATGACAGCCAGCGCTGCACACAGGTTTACTCTAAATCAGAAGCTAGCAGTGACAAACAAAAAGACACACTCAAAGAAAACAGTTGACAATATGTAAACTTAGGGTTTAAGAAAACACATTTTGTAACTAATTTCTAAACCTATTCCTTTCACTATAGGACAAAACACTATCCATTGAATCATGGGTAATGGAGTAGCATCCATTTCTTGAAAAATATTTGTACCAATGTCTATTGTGAGTTCATTAACTTTTTTATTTTAATCAATATTCATTTTCTGTCACAGCTGATCATTATAACCGTATCTCATGCTTATCTTAGTTTGATTACATTTAAAAATAAAAACACAGATACCTTTGTATGGATGTATTAGTTTAATATTCTTTTAAATGCCGTATTATATGTATTGGTATTGACGTGTGACATCCCATTATGGTTCAACTTCACCAAATATCACATAATCCTTCTATTTTGCCAAAGTCCAATCACCGACTGTTTCCAGCCTGTGACGTCTCACTTTGGGTCTGAAGACAGGCACGTGGAGCACAGAGGGAGGGAGTGGGGGGGTGTTAGTCTGGTTTGAAAAGTGAAGGAACGCAGCAGTAACACTCATTAGCTGCTTGTAACGGCATAATATCACGGCGGAGGGCAACTTGTCTGAGGGGGTCTGACATTGGCTCGGCGTCCTGTCGCCTCACCGTCAGACACAGTGAAATAAATTATCACCGCAGAGCTTCGGATTATAGGTCACTCATTTATTCAGGAATAATTGCACTGGTGACCTTTGCAATTCAATTAAGGCCTAGATGTGTTTAAATGAGGGTTGTTGGAGCGTGGATGGACGAGAGGGGGTGCACAATGCGGAGACAAGGGTTAGCCGGGACAAAATGGGATGCAAAACGAAAGCAACCCGTTCTGTTTAAAAGGATGAGCATGTGTGTGTGTGTGTCTACCAGTGTGCGCCTGAGTACACGCGTATATGATTTACACAGCGGATACAGCCGAGGAGCGCTAAAGGTCAGAGGAGAGTAATGTGGTGGAAGAGGCCGGTGGTACAGGATCTCTGCTGTAATAACAGCTCTGATTAAGATCCCAGCCTCGTCTCCCCGGAGGTCAAAGGCAGGACACACACTCAAAACACAACGTCAGACCGCACGAGCCGCGTAGTCCGCACGATTCTCAAAACATGATAGAAAACATGCATCTGCTCTGCATCAAAGCAGTAAATCATCAACCTCCTATTATAAAACTACTATGGGAGGAAAATTGTAATTTCTTTGTTACTTGGTCAAGAAAACCTTAGTCTTGTTCGGCAAGTATAAGCTGATTTATATGCTAGACTTTTGTACTTTTTGTAAATGTCCATGTTTGTTGAAAATGTGTGTTGTTTTTACACAAAACTTTTGTATTGATGTCATTAAATTGGTCAGGTTTTGTATTTATGTGACCACAACATTAAATATAATTGTATATTATAAGAAAGGTGTATCATTTAAAATATTTTGGCAGGATAATTTGTATTTTCTGGAAAGGAGCAGCCAGCGTTTTTGGCATCAAAATGATAACATTTACTTTGTATTGGTCAGGGTATTGGTCAAATATTTAACATATGCTTTAAAGTTAATCATTATTGTAGAGATGGCAGAAAAACCATCAATGGAACAAGAAACCAACACGACGTGGAACAAAGACACCAGCGCTCTTTCAGCAAGCAGCACAAAGGACACTAACAGGAAGCGGATGGAGAGAAGGATTAATGGATGAATGGAATGAAGATCTGCTGCCAGGTGAGTGGAGGATGTAGCCGGATTTGAGCAGGTAAGAACAAATTACAGTCAAGTGCAATTGAGTTGCAGAGAGAAGACAGCAGAACCAAACTCTGTGAGGTTTCGATTGTAGTTCCTTCCGTTGTCCTTGTCTTTAATTTTTAGAAAATGTAGGTTTTTAATGGAGGAAATTATTCAATTCGTAGTCTACGAAAATTGATACATTATCAAATCTTACCCACAAACTAAACTGAACTAGTATATTTACTATAATTCAAATTGATTTTCATTTATACTGTGATATACTCTGTACATCCGTTCATTGTTTTTTTGGCCTTTATATCATTTAGATAAAATCCAGGAGAAATTCTGCAGGATTTATTAACAATAAAACAATTTAAAATGGGTTTTATTAAGATTTGTAGTTCTCTTCTCTTAAAAGTTCTCAAAATGAAAGCTAAAAAAAGAGGAATTCTCAGTTTTCATAAAGAACATCACAACATCGGCTACAGCCTTCAAAATCCCACATTTGTCGAACTCTAATGTGCCGGGAGCTGTACCGCTGCGTCTCTCTGCATGGGCTCACAGTGTGTGTTGCGTTGCTGCAGATGGGTGTGGATGGAGGTAAGCGGAGGTGTGGGTGGAGTCGCTGATGGCAGGGTGAATACTCACTATTGACGCTACCTGCTAGTGCATTAATGTTGTTCAGGCCGACGGTCGCGCCTGCCAGGCCCTGCAGGGTGCCCAGGGAGGTCAGAGAGTTCATGGCGCTGGCGTTGGAGGTTGCTGTTGGGCCCGGTGCTTCGGGAAGAGAGGGATATAGCGGGGGGAGGGAGGGAGGGGAAGGAGGGGAAGGAGGGAGGGGAAGGAGGGAGGGAGGTAGAGACAAAGGTAAAGAGGACGGAGGTGAAGAGGGAGAGTAGGAGAAAAAAGAAGCAGACGTGTTATACAAGCTTCAACAAGGTTCCTATTGTAGAGGTAAGGGCTTAAAAAACTTCTTTATATATTTTATGCAGAATTGATCTTTCTGAAATATTCGTGTTTAGAATGCAATCAACTGAAATCACTGCGGAGAAGACTGGCTGCCTTTATTTGCCTTCATACTTTAGTTTTCTTTGTTTGTAGGATATCACAACATGTCAAACACTTCAATGCCTATTGGTGTTATAGAATAGGTTTGATAGAGATAACACCACAACACTTTGAAACAGAGGGACGTAGACGCAAAGTTCTGCAAGTTTCTTGGATTTATAATTGAAGAAAAATCGACTAATTCTTCAGCCTTAAAAGATTTCTGACCATTTATTTTGGAGAACTCTACGTTTTGGCTACAAATGGAAACCAATATTGACACATTTGGACCATATCGTGCTCAATGATTCCAAAAAGAATAATGTAGGCTTTCATTCACATAATTAGTTTCTAAGTGGCTGAAAGCTTGCGTAGCCATCACATCTACATTTAGAAAGCAAATGTACTCATCAACTAGTTACTTGATTATTCTTTTAGATAGTGCTGCATAAGCAAGATACATTTCAATGTTCACAACAAAGCACTAGGATTTGTACCACTACTATTATTACATTTAATGCAGATCTGAATCCATGTGCGGACAAAAACCTACGTTTCCATTATAAAGCAAAAGCTAAATTGCATCGAAGGCAGAGGTTATACTATGTTTTCTAGTCTCCGAGATTAAATCTGTTGTTAGATATTTGCAGGAACTCTTTTCTTTCAGTGCAAGCCGAGCTAAAGCCTTTTCATAGTGAACATGAATGCTTGCAGGCCGTCAATGAACAAGTCTTTGTTCATCCTTTATAAAACATCTCCCTTTCTATTAGCGATAGAGTTCAAGGGAAATGTGAACTTAGGGCAGCCAATTGTTCCACAGTGATCCCAGTCCCAAAAATATAACTATGCTAACCCTGTGTACACAATTATACAAGGATAAAAACACAGAGAATACAGCTGTAAAAGATATTCACAAAAACAGATGAATTGAAAGAGTGCTGCATTCAAAGTGATGCTGTAATAGCGTTAAAAAAACACAAGGACCATCCAAAAAAAGCAGACATATGTACAGAAAGGCAAGAGCACAGACTTTTTATGCTAACAGTAATCTTTCGGAAAGTGTGAAACTACTCGAATTCTCTCTTATTTACAGAATATTTAATGGACGTTTTCAAGAGCACAGTTTAAATCACCAAAACACACACAATTCAACACAGTGGACACAAACCCACACACACACACCAACGTGAAATGTGTGCCACACATGAACTGCTATGTCAGTGGCGGTGGGTGAGATGGCGGGAGAATATGGTGCACAAAGCTCGCAACCTCGTTCTGTTTCCCTGACAAAATAAAATGTAATCTCTTCATTTACCGTTGATCTCATCAAAGCGAAGCCAACAAAGCAGGATTGCTGCTGAATACACGAAGAAATGGTGTGATAAAGGGAGCGTTATGTCGCCACATGGTGCAGAAAAACAAAAATGCTTGCCTGTCTCCATGCAGAACTGTCTATGTTTATCACGTTTTCACTTTCACTGACACATGCAGTAGAACGCCACTCATTCACACTGCTCAACCTGAGAGTGTACTATTCAAGGTTGGACTGACATTCAGAGTCAGAGAGAGGAGGAGGTGGAGGAATAAAAGAGAAGAGGTGAGGAGTGTGGAGAGATTGAGCTTAGGAAAAAAGGAGACAAGAAGGTGCATGGGGGCAAGAAGTGGGATGTAGAAGCAGCGTTAAGAGAGTGGTGCAGGAATGAGTCCTAAAACCCAGATATGAGTCAGCATTTTACCACTTCCAGTTCCCTCGGCTTAAATTTAACGTTTTCTTGAGTGGTTTCTGGTTAGATGCTTGAAATAAGGTCTGAGTTACATAAGCCTGGTGAATGTCAGCTAACAAGTGACCAAATGAGATGCCTTAACGTCGTCGCAAAGAAGATTAGCCATCTTTAGCTTAGCAGTCGCAGTGGAGAGCCGCCAGGGCCCTCTAGGCCCTCTCTGGGGGCCTAAGATATTCTAAAATATAATATTTGAAAACATTAAAACAATTGTTTTATTATTAGTTTTACAAACAATTATTTGATTTAATTGGATTTAAAATAACATTTCCAAAGAAATAAATCCTTCGAATCTGCCTGTTCAGTTTCTGTTGGAATGTGAAGGGTTAAATGAAAGAAGCACGTCTGGCCCTCTCTGCGAGTTACTGTCCTGCTGTAGATTCACAGAGGGCCCGCTATAGTAACTCAATAGGCGCGTTCACACCGCAGTACTTTTCCCACTTTAGTTCCGAAATGTTGCGTTCACACCAAAAAGAGCCGGAACTAAAATTAGTTCATGAGAACCTTTTCACCCCCTTTTCCGTCCCTGCTAGAGAGCAGGGACTTTCGTGGGAGAAAAAGGTTCCTATTCTTTCACACACAGTGACGTCACGAGCTACCCACAATGCAACACGCGCCATATAAATATATATAAATGCGCCATTTTCCTGGAGGTGCTAATATCCTGGAAGTGCAAATATAAACAGCTAGCTAACGTAGCCAGGCAGAGCGCAGTAGGTTTTTTTTCTGAATTAACGACAGAAATCGCTGCATGTCTTCGGATTACATCTCTGGACTTGAGGGGTGTGCTTTAGGTCGTTACCAGCGTAAACTAGAGCTGTGTGGGTTGTTACAGACTGCCTGCAGATGTATGGAAACACGACAGTGGCCTTCGTCGATTTTGGCTGCATCTACGTCTAATTTATGGAAACACCAGGTGAATACCCCACTTGTCACAATAATATTATCATGCCATTGCATATATGTGGTATTTTAGAGTTGACTAGATATTGATTAAGGCAATAGACTATGATATTCAGTACAGGAAGCTTAGCAACACCTAGACGGTGTACGGCTGCTTGCACCTCGCGTAAAACGGCGCAGACCGGAAGTACGGTGTCACGCTCGGCCCAATACCCGTATGTGTGTGTGAAAGAATGTCTGATTGGCAAACCACGCCCCGTAAAACTCCCAAAAAGTTTTGTGAAGCCGCCATTTTATTATCCTCGCATTAGCATTATTAGCATTAGCATTAGCCCAGCGCAGAAACGCAGAGAGACTAACTTATGGCAACACAAAATAAAACATGGGAGCGGTGGAGATGAGGAGGTGTCGGCGTTCTGGCGATTTACTCGTCCCCAACTCCCCAACTCCGGGGACTTCCGGCCGGGGACTTTGGGCGGCAGTATACGGCGTGAAGTGGTTTGCGGCCTGCCAGTAAACCCAAAGCAGAAGAAGAAGAAGTGACGTCAGCGGCTTAATTTGCCTAATCCTCCCCCAGGGACTTATTCCGGTGTGAACGCGATCTGTACTTAGTTCATGAGAACTAAAGAGTTCTCATGAACTAAGTTCTCATGAACCTTTGTGGGAAAAGTACTGCGGTGTGAATGCGCCTAATGAGAGAGTAATGTCAAATGACAGTACAATTGACCAATCATGTCTTCCCTCTAAATGGGTGGGCTTTATTTTTCCGCGGACTTTATGACAAGTTCTGCCCGGTGGTGCAGTGACGCATCCTAAAACCCGGAAGTAAGCTTCGCTCGGATTCCCTTGACAAAAAAGCAATGGGATTTCTCCATAGGGTTTTGGAAAATAGCTCGAAATAAGGTCTGTGGAACAAACCTGTTAGATAAATGCACGTTTTGTTCAGCCGGATAATATCCACATGTCTACCCTACTTTTATAATTTTCGAATCATAAATCGAATCGATAGATTTATGATCGATAGATTTATGATTAGCATAAGTTTGTTCATGATGGCTCACTTCAGTGATAGTGATGACATCGTTGCGAAATTATTAACCGAGTCATTTTCAAGATTGAGTTACAATGATAAACTGGAGTGGCAAAGGAGGCAGAGGGCCTAGGTATAAAAGTCACAGCTCGCCACTGAGCAGTGGTGATGTGAAGTCATGTTACATTGCTGTAGTTCCTTTATAGCCCAACGTTAACGCTTCTTACTTCAGCCAATTGCATTTAGGCTTCCGAAAAGTTTGGTTAAAATGTCCTGTTGAACAAAACGTGTAAGTATCATCAACGTGTGTTTGCCAGCAAGCTGATTTTCGGCAATATTCCTAAAAAAGGGAGCCATTGCGATGCTAACTTTTCTAGCGCCGCTCGTCTGGCAGTCTTTTAAAACAACTCCTACTCACCGCTGAGTATTTTATATCTTTACTTCTTTATTTATTGTACTTTCTGTAAAACTCTTTTGTAAATACTTTTCTAAATTATTGGTCGAAACATGGACCCCAAACCTGCACTGCTTGCACTGGTTATTTATCTACCATTTTGTTTTTTTGTACTTATTGTGTTATTAATAACAGGTGTATACTTAGTCATTTTTCGTTTTTTTAATATGTAAGTCTATTCTCCTCACTTTATCTGCTCTGGTAATAATGTACATTTCCCAGTTGTGGGACAAAAGGATTTCTGGTTTCTGAATTTACGGGGCAGCCCACAATAACACATCATTACTGCACCACTCTGTGAAGGTGTGAGCTGTGTGAGCTTTTTATAATCATGCTCTGTTGGCAGTGCGCTCCAAAAGAGACGGCAAAACCACGGCCGCTGGAGCGAGGCCCCGCCGACATATAAAGAGAGAATGATGGAGCAGAAACAGAGAGGCTTGTCAAAGGCGAAAAGACGAGGGCAACGAGAAGGAACACAAGGAGAGGAGAGAATGAGGCAGGGTGGGAAGAAAGAGGAAGGATATTTAACCTGCGCCGAGTTCAGACATCAACCTACTAGTTCTTTGACCCCCCCAAAAAACACCAACACACACACATACAGGTGCAAACAAACCCCGAAACAACAAATCTGCCGACCTAACGTTTTCTGTGAAGCACAAACAAATAATTAAAAATAGAAACATCTGAACCGGACAGAAAACATTGAAGCACAGAACACACAGACATGCACACACGCACACATATACAGTGTGTGTATGACAGGATGGTGTTGGTGAGGGAGTGGTTTGAGGACGCAGGTGGGCGGTGCATCGATAACACAGCATGGTTTCTATGGAGATGGAGGTCTGAGAAGCGGTGGATACACACACCATGGGAATGTGCCAGAAAGAACACTGACGGGAGGGTCTGAACAATGGAGATGTTTCGGTTGGTTGATGGTTTTCAGTGATGGCGGTGGAAGTGCCGGGGCGACAACAATGGTAACGGTGGAGAGCGGAGGCAGGCGTTGGCCCCCCCCCGGCGTCGGACCCCCTCCCCCCCGACCTGAGTCACTGCGGTGTTACCTGGGCTGCCCAACGCTCCCAGGGAGGCGGCGCTGGCTGACAGGGGGTTTGCGTTGGAGGGACTGGCTGAGTTTTGGGCCACCGCCGCTGCCGCTGCTAAAGTGGCCAGGTTCTGCAACTGCAGAGCACTCATACCTGGAGAGAGGAGCCAGAGAGGGTGGGGTCAAACCTGGGGAGGGAGGCTGAGCCGTAGCTGGACCGGGACATAGCACCAGAGGACGAGTTAGCTGCTTCATGTGCAGAGGAATAACAGAGGAGTGTATGTGCCTGGAAATAGTGTTTTTTTCCTGCTCTATCTTTAGCCCCTGTGAAGAGTCTGCAGTGTGTGAAGGCAAACTACAGCAGCTGATTTCGCTAACAAGTCCCAAATGTGTTTAAATCAGTAAAAGCAGCTGTTCTAGTGTTGAAGTTTGGTGCGTTTCTCTGAGCTGCTCTGGCGCCAAAAATAATCTCAGTGATTTAGTTAAACTTCTATTTTTCTTTCCAGGGAACGCTCCGTGGAGAAGGCTAAAGAAATACAGGAAGACTCTAACCTCCCTGGTCTCGTTATCAAATGAAATGTTCTCAGCTATAAAAACAATTGACATGGTCTATAAACATCGACACATGTACTAAACTGCGTGATGAGTAGAGCTTGACTGATGTGGAACTCCTGAGGCTTATAGACAATGTAGTATTTTGTATTAAATGGAAGCCTTACCAACATCTGTCAAGGGATATCAAACAAAAATGTGCCGTTCAGAGGAACTAAACAATATGTTTAAAAAAATGGTGGTAGCTTTTGACTTACTTAATATCGACATTTCAGGTCAATTAAACATTTCCATAAATATGGCTATAAGTATGTTTTAAATGTAACTTAAGTAAGTTAAATAGTTTCCTTCTTTTTCCTGGAGAATTTGATTATTTTTAAAAGCACTGTCCTCCAAGATACAATTGAGCATCTTAGTATTATAAATCCATTCTAAGAGACTCTTTGTTATCTGCAATTAGGTGGAAAAAATATGGTGTTTCTGGTACCAGCCAAAATAAGTAAAAAAATGTAGGTATTCCAGAAATAAATCTGTGCATCCATAATAAAATAAAGATGTATTTTACACTTGAATTGAGGAGGCTGGTGTGATTTATATCAGCAATAATCGGCCTCCTGTCGACATCAGTCATGCTCTAGTCACAGTGGCCCATTATTGAGTCTTTTAGCTTTAAAAATACAGATAATAAATATTAAACTGCGCACCACTCAGCACTGCTGTATTACCTGCAGGCTGAACTCTGCACATTGTTAATCTGCCTGCTTGCATTAGCATACGAGCCTGTACTTAAGCATAATTAATGACTACATGCCAACACCCAAACGATGGCGAAGCAAAGGCTATAAAACACCTTCTGTGCGAACAACTAAACCTTTCACCTCATTCAGTGGATGTGTGTGTGTTTATGTAAGTGTGGAAATTATGAGGCAGGCGCTCATAAAGCGGAAACAGAATCAGTCACCAGTTCTTACCACAGGAAGCTTCCACTGAGCTGGTTAGAATTAGAGGACGGACACTGTCAATGTGAGGTGTATGTGTCGTATATACAGCCTGAGTGTATATACAGTACCATGGGAATACGCACACACTCACGCACACACACATACAAGTAGACACACACAAACAAGACATCATGAAGAAGAAGATCCATGTAAAAATACAGATATTTCCTTCACCCGGATACAAAGTGGCCAATAACAACAACTGGCTGGATCCATCGCTGGGATGCACACTTTTCATTGGTTAAATACATATTTAAAAAAAGAACACTGCCACTTTCTATATGGTCGAGTTTGTATGCCTGCTGTTATATGCATGTACACTTTTTTTTTTAACATATCTGTGCTTACCTCAAGCCAAAACCAACCAAAACAGTGCCGTAAAAATACAATATATTCATATATATCATTTTCCCTTTCCCCTGAGTTACATCTTTCAACCAATTTCAGTTCTGATCATAAGTATCACATAAATGTCACGTATCAAAGTTAGAAAAATATTACAAACAATCATTTTCAATCAGGGCTTTAGATTGAAAGCTTGATATCTTTTAATCCATGATGTTATGGTGTAATTGCTGAAAATATTGGTTTTAATAAGTTTCAATGAGGACATTTGTGTGAGTGTTTGATTTAATATACAAGCTGAGGTTAACATTCCAAATTCACAACACCCACATGTTAGGCCAGATGCCTTTACACAACCAAAGACATGGACATATTTCACATTAAAAGACAAACATGTCCTATAGTGAGGCACAAGGGTTGGTTACATATGGAAAAAGGCCACTGCCAGTTTCTAAATGCTCTGTTTCTCCCCGGGTGTGTATGCCTGCTGAAATGAGCACTTGTGTGTGTGTCTTTTTTTTAAACTAATCTGTGCTTACTTATACATCAGAGCCAAAACCAATTTAGTTCTCAAAGCGACTTTCTCCAATTTTCTGTGACAAATCAAAAGCTGAAATGGATTTCTACTTCTACGCAAGGTAAGAAAACAGCCGCTATCATTGTTTCTTTCTCCTCCTGTGAAGGCACGTTTAAATCGTGCACTAATTCCAACCGTGTTCCTCTCTCTGAAACGCTCCACATGAGCGAGCAGAGCTGCGCTGAGAGAAGCCGGCTGTTTATACGAGCGCTCCTTCATGTCTCTTTATTATAATATAAAAGCCATTTTTATTTCACTGCCATTTCCCCCTTGCTGGGTTTGACCACAGAGGCTCAGATCGACCCACTAAAACATTTAAGGACAAAAAGCCTTTCACTAGAACGTAAACAAATAGTCCCTGTGGAGCCATTCTGTTGTTACTTCGCCTCACCTTGACTGACATTTCATTAGTTTTCTTGACTTTCCTTTAATTTCTTTCATTCATATTTACCTTAATTCATGTCCCTTTCCTCTTCCTTTGTCTGTTCTTTATTACATTTTAGATGTATTTCCTTACCCTTTCCTTTAAGTGCTCCTTTTTGATTCTCAATTTCTCCCACTATCACTGGCTTTGCTCTTTTTGGACTGTCCTTAACAAACATTTGTTTTAGGTTTCTTTCACTTTCATTGAATTTATCCTTTTGCTTTTGAGACTCATCTTCTTTCTTTTCTTACTGTATTTTTCCTTCAATCACATCACCCTTTTCCCTCTATGTGTTTGCTTCCCTTTCCTTTCTCCATTTATATCTTCATTTCCGTTTTCCTTCCTTTCCTACCTTCCTTTTCCATGCATAATTCCTCCTTATTTCCTATTCTTTTCCCATTTCCTTTCCTTTGCCTCCTTGCATTTCACATTACTAATTGGTCCTTTCATTTTCTTGCCATTTCCCATCTTCTTTCCTCCATTTTTATTTTCCTTCCCTGTTTCTCCGGCAAGGCTTTTCCCCCCGTTTCTCAAAGCTTCTCCACCCCAAATCTTCCTTGCATTTGTCAAAGGTCATCTCCCTCATTGAAAATAAATGTTGAAGGCAGTCACGTGGAGAAAAAGGAGCAGGCGGGATGTAAGAGTAACCGGGTTAGAGGGGAATAAAGTGGAGCCGTACGGAGAAAGAAAGAGAGACAAATAGAATCTACTCCCCACATCACAGTATCCGGGCTGTGCAGATGGTGCGTGTGTGTGTGTGTGTGAGGGACTGTGAGCACATATGTGTGCGAGGATGCATGTGTGTGTGTGTGTGTGTGTGTGTCTGTGTGCAGCCTGTATGGCAGCGCTGTGCTGGCTGCGTCTAATTGAATGCTCATTGGTGTAATTGAAGCCTCTCAGCTCTGCAGCTCCTAGTGTTAAAGACTGGGACCAGATGTCATTCAGCTGTGTCACATCTCCTGCCAATCACTAATGCTAACTCTCTCGCAGATGGACGACCAACAGATCTCCAGATTCAGACACCGTCACTCTCCCTCGCTTCCAAATCCCACAGCCTATTTATCCGTGCGAGTGTGTGTTTGTAAGGAAATGCGTGTTTGAGCTCACTGAGCAAACGTTTTAATCAGCCAGAGGGAAACGGCAAGGCGTCGTAACTCAAGGGAACAGCAAACTGCAGGATACAAGACGGCCACTTTTAAGAAACTCCCATCACACTTAGAAAATGTTATTGTGTCTGCGCAATTTCCTTATCCTGTCTTCCACAAGTCAACTGCCTAAACGGCGTGGAACTAAGAGCTGACACCTTGCTAAGAAACTCACAGATGAACAGAGGAAGAGGAGAGAGAACAGACAGAGTGGGAAAGGCTGGAGGGAGGCGTTGAGGTGAGGTAAGAAAGTGTGATGGAAGAGGGTGGGAGGCGCAAGAGTTCCTGCTAAAAGAGGCTTAAAATAAAGAAAAAAGAAATGAAAGTTTAATGGAAAGAGAGAAGAAGAAGTCAGAGATGATGAAAGCGAGTATCCACGGGTCCCTGGAAGTCTTAAATAATCTAAATTTAAAGCCCAAAAATTATATTACTTAAAGACAGAGATTTTATCTTGTTCAACATTTAATAGGAGTCTTCCTGGCACGCTCAAGGCTCGGATTAATACAGAACTGGGTTAATGCATTATGCATTCCTTATGGCTTCAGCTTCACTTAGGAGAGTTTCACTGTCCCTTACCACTTTATTTCTCGGTGTCCTTTCTCTTACTCAACCCATTTAGAGTTTGAGAAACTTTCACCGGCCATTCATTGCGAAATAGATACATTCATATCTTTAAGTCTTTTTTAAACTGGCTTTAAAACCTATTTCGTATACGTCTCACACAAAACTCATGTTGTATTATTTATGTTGCTTTGGACCCCATTGGTAATTTGACATTTGTTTTTGTATTACATTTTAAATTCTCTTTTTCTTTTCTCTATACTAGACACTGCATTTGTCTTACCCTCTCCTGTAATGACTTAATTACTCAATTAAAAAATTTAAATAAATGATTGTGCCAATGAAACCGTTTCTGAACATGGACTTGTAGGAATGTATTTTTTTTACTTTATTATTTTCTTTTCACCCTAGAAATAGGTGTATATGTGTACATATGTATGTGTATGTATATAGAATGTGTCTTTATCCTGCAACTGGTTGACTAACGGGAGGCCTACCTCTGTATAAGCTATACTTTATACTAATTCTGTTTGTTTGTCGGATGTATAAATTGTCTAATTGTTGAAATAGTAGAATCAATAATAATAAAAAAAAAACCTATAAGAGGCTTCAATTTGCCATAAACCTGCAGATGCTCTTGAAAGGAAATCTTAGTACAGATGACAGAAGAAGAGAGCAGTAGATGGCGCCAGTCTGCAGTGAAAGATATCGACATGAGAGCCCACTTTCACCCATTTGATCCACTCCCTTTTCTCCCAACCTCCCCCTTACCCACGATTCATCCATCCCCGGCACAGCCTCGGTGTTACTGTCACACGCCCAGGGCACCACTCTTGGTCTGGCCTCATTAAAAGATCAAGACAATTCTTAGTAACAGTTAATACATCTTCAGGGCAGAGATCTCTCTTTACTGCACCACGCGAGTTCATCTGTTATGCTCTTTGGTCCTCTTTTAGAAGTCTGTGGAAAAGAATAGGCGCAACAAAGGGTCCGTTCCCGTCGTTAATGGCGGTACAGTGAAGGTTTATCTACTTTTCTTTGGACTCACCGGCCATCTGCTGGATCCCGCTGAAGGCTCCGAGGTTGCTGGAGGAGGTTGCCTGCTGGAGCAACTGATGGGGAAAAGAGAGAGAGAGAGAAAGAAAGAGGAAGAGAGACAAGGCAGAGAAAGAGAAGAGGGAGAAACAGAGTGCGTTAGGCGGATTCAGAGAAACTTATAGGGTCAAATGTGATCCGTTGCTAAATGTTTAAACATCAGAAATAGGGGGAACAAACATCACATGGGTGGTTTCTAGCTTAGCAAAAACTGTTAATGATGACTACTTTCATTGAATTAAAGGCGTTTTATTCAAATGTAAAGCATTTGTTTATTCAATTTGACCTTATTTTATCGATAAAAGTAGGTCGAATTTCACGGAAAATAGGCCTATTGATCATATATTCCAAAAACTGCCACTGTGTGGATTGACATTCTTACATTATCTATTTTACACGCATAAACATACTCTTCTCCATTTCTTTTTCTTCTTGCACTCGCTTTATTATTTATATCTTATATATATATTTACGTTGCATTGTTGAAAGAACCTGAGATTTTTCATTTTTCATTGGCCAAACTAGCGATTGTAAATATGACAAAAAAGCATTGGCGCCTTGAATCTTGAAACAAACGTTACATGTGTATTAATGTGTTGGGGATGAAGTTGGCTAAGAAGGTGTAACACAGATGTATATTTTATGAATCCTAAGCAGTTAAACCTGAGCAAAATCAACGGGACAGCACATTGCTAAATGCATGGCAACACCGAGAAGCTAATAACGAGAGCTTTACTGTGGGTTTTGCCTCAGTACTCGTAAATGAGCTGCTAATATAGTTTGATCTCTCCTCTAAGAAAACACTGTTTGTATTCCGGTGTGATTCTTCCAGACAAGTTGAGCATGAGAGCTCTAATCTAGCCAACTAATTAGATTTCCAAAACAAAAGTGGAATACTGATGATCAAAAAGTCATCCTCCAAAGACTTGAATTAACAGCAAATTAACATCTTGTTTCTGTACTGTGTGTGACTTCTTTCCATCTAGAATGGAGCTTAATATAAAAGGGGGCTGACAGAGGAGACACATGTTGGAGCCCAATTTAAACATCTCACATTTTCACACAAGCACATGCATTATTATCCAGTAAAGGTGGGATGTTTGCCTGGGCTGACAGGTGTTAATTGCACTTAACAAATCTCTAAACTTTCACATATAAGTAGAATTTGGGCTGTTAGTTTAGAAAGGGAAGCGCAATTGAGGAAAGGGTTGGGACTTTCTACACAAAGAGTCCCGAGTATAAGGCTCTGAAAATGTAAAGACTGAAGAGAGAGAGAACGAGGTTTCTGAACACTACTTTAAAACCAGCAAATCCCCCAAATCAAACAAATGAACTGCAGAGGGTCTCAGATGCTGAGCAGCAGACCCTCCAATGCAGGATTCCTCAAATTGGGGATCAGTGGACTCCCAGGGGCCCCAAACTGTCCCTGCAAGTCTTTTTTGGGGGGGGTTAATCCCACACAAGTCTTAAGAATTGACCATAATAGGTGAATATATAACATTAATTGAATCTCTGAAACTTGACTTGGTTATGGCCAAGTATTTTACTTAATCAATTAAAAAACAAACAAACAATAATGTATTGTTTGTCGAAAGGTTTAAATTAGCACATTTGGAGATAAGGTACATATTTTTCAATGGATAACAATTATTTACGGCATAAGGAAAACCAGAGAGAACATGGGTAAATCCTGGGTCCTAAACATGTGGTTTGTATACTATGAAATTGTTATGGAAATGTATGTATTTGGATTAACACTAAAAGGTAGCCACTGGGGTGTACATCCTCAGTTTCAACCACTTTGACAAATGCTAGGAAATATTAATAAATGTATTTATTTCCGGGCTTTTGCCACAGAGACTTTTAATGAATATCCAACCAAGCAAGTCAATGACATTTCTAGGAGGAAACAGTATTGGGTAAAGATATGTACAATTGTTATTTTGGGCCAAAACATGTACTGCAATTTACAACATTTGTAAAGACAAAAAATGTGTCCTTGCATTGATAATGTATAGGGCACTAACAGGTGAAAAACAGAGGATGTATTCTATATATTTTTTTCTCTTGTTACATTTTTGATATACATAACATATGATTGGCTTTTAGCATCCTGTTCAGAGACCTCATTTCCCCGTCAGCCCATAGGAGAGGATGGAGGAGAGGAATAAGGGAACAAAGGAAAGAAGGGAGGAAGATTTCAGGGGATCTGGATATTTTTGAATATGGGCACTGACTGCAGCGACGTTGGCCATGGTGCTGCAGTAAGGGGTGTAGGAGGGGGGGGAGGTGATGGAGGCGGCGCTCCTTACAGCCAGGTACTGCGGGGTGAGCCCCCCCAGGCCCGTCAGGCTCCCCCAGGTGGTCGCACTGTTGAGCTGCTGCATTTGCTGCGCCAGCTGCTGCTGCAGACGCCGCTGCTCCTTGTCCTTCTGCGTGTCAGCAAACTTCACCACGATGGGAGACGAGCAGCCCTGAGAGGGAGGAAGGGGGAGAGGAAGGGGATGAGGAAAAGAATCAAGAAAGTGTAGAGGAGAGAAAATGGGAGGGAGGATGAAGATGAATGCAAGAGGAGAGTAAAAGAACAGGGGAGCAGAGGATACGAGAAGAGAGGAGACAAGAAAGTACATAGAACATGAGAGGAAGATGAAAGAGAGAGGAGGAAGTAAAAGAAAAATGGAAAGAGCAAGAAGAACAGAAAAGGATATATAGAAATGAAAGGATAGATGTAGAGAGGAAAGGGAAGATGAGGACAATGGGAAAGGAAACAGAAGATAATTAGGGAATCTGGTAGGGAACACACCTAAACATTCAAATGAATAATACACTGAATACATACAGTATAATAACGGCAAGAAAATGAAGGTTTTTACGATGAAGGGGAACACACGCACGCACGCACGCACGCACGCACGCACGCACGCACGCACGCACGCACGCACGCACGCACGCACACACACACACACACACACACACACACACACACACACACACACACACACACACACACACACACACACACACACACACTGGAGGGACTCACAAAAGAACAACCACACATTTCTGTATTAACGAACTTTACATCAGCAAAGAGAAAAAAATCTATTCTTAATTAAAACCACCAAATACAATTTCCTCGCACTCACACACACACATACACACTGAGTGACATAGGACACACACACAGAGTCACACAGGAAAGTTGACTCTAAAGCCGGTGGGCTTTCTTCTTCCCCCCACAAGGGCTCAGTTATCTCTTAGTCCAGAACACTTTCACCAGAAACAGATTTCCTGAGTTCGCCAACTATTTCATCATCTCATATGAAGAGAGACTTGAAGTGTGTGTGTGTGTGTGTGTGTGTGTGTGTGTGTGTGTGTGTGTGTGTGTGTGTGTGTGTGTGTGTGTGTGTGTGTGTGTGTGTGTAAGAGAGGAAGAGTGTGTAAAAAAAGGCAGAGATTGGGAGACCCAGAGGTGGAGAGGGCAAGAGGAAGATTTTGAGATTTGGACAATGGGACAATGGGAAGTGTGACTAATTGTCCACATGTCTATCCCCTGTGTGTCACAAAAGAAACGCTCCTGATTAAAGTTGCAGCGACGGTTGGAACACACAAAGCTTACCACAGAGTCATAATCACACCACAGAATTACTCACACGCTGCAATCAAAGCCTAACTAGGGGCGAATCCGTCGGAAACAAAGGCAATCTGCCACGGGAGAATAAAAAGCTTTTGATTGAAACATTTAGTTTGAGGCACGATCCGCACTCGGCAGGGGAGAGGAGGGATTTGGCTTCTTTACAGTCAGGAGATATATGTCAAGTGTGTAACCCCGTGTGTGTGTGGGGCGGAATGTGTCAGTTCAGGTGTGTTGTGTAAAAGTGAGGTTCTCATTCATAACACTCCGTTCGATGTCTCACTATGGGATGCGCCTCATCGCGGAGCAAACAGAAGCATCAATCTCATTACGCCAATCCTGATTGGCTGGTGATCTTGACGTCAGCGTCAGGGAAATCACCCCCTATAAGTAGCTTGCGCCACAACGCATGCGCCATTCAAACACCTCTTCTCGCTTCAGAGCACATCTCTATAGTAGCCGGACAAGCTTAACGGTCCACAGACTGAACCCAAATATAACCAATTCGGTCGACGGGCGCTCGCCGGCTACTCCTTCTGCTTCGCAAGAAGACGGTAATACTAACGCCAGTTAGTATTAAAATCGACCTCGCCGTTCTTTCCCCGGAAAGTAAGGTAAGGTTTTGATTTTCTCAAGCTAGCTACGCACCTGTTGCTAGCTAGCTTCCCCTTACTACCGACACCACGGTAGCGAGGACGCTTTTCTTTTTCTCTCTCACGGAGGAGAAAAGGATTAGAAGTATATTGACACACCAGTCAATATTCTTTGAGAACAAAGGACCCACACCGTCCCTTTTTCTCCGGATTAAGGACGGGTTGGTAACACTTTTTCTCTCAACGACGTACCTGTTACGAGCGGGTCCTCTCCACGCCACGATGCGAACAAGATGGACGCCTCTCCCCCTCACACCAGAGGAGTCAGGGACTCGGAGGCTCGGTCATGCGGCTGCGGGTTGAAGATAGCAGGCACAGACTCACACCAGGTCTGCTCGTCCTGCCTCGGGCTGGAACACGCCCAGGAGGCTATCGACAACCCCGGCTCGTGCGGGCATTGTGCCCTTTTCACCCGAAAGAGCCTCCACCGACGGCTAGCACACCAAGCTAGCTTGTTGGAACAGGACTCCCTCATGTCCACTGATTCGCCGTTTGGCAATCAAGACACGGGGGCGTCCGCCGCAGAGACTGAGCCCCTCACTGTGTCGGTCTGGGGCTCACTAACAGCGGCAGCTGCGGAACCGGGATCCCACGCCGTTCAGGCCGGGACCCGGTGGCGGCAAGAGACGCGGGAACGGAGCCCCACGCCTCACCAGGCGGGAGCTCCCGGCAAGACCTCACCATGGTCTCGCCCGTAGAGGCTCGGCCTGCTCCGCATACCGCCGATGGAACTGCTGGTGGCAGCCCACCTCCCACCGAGGATGGGTCACCAAGCAGGAACCCCACGCTGCCAGCGAAGGTGGACCGTTTCCAGTCGACCATGACTGAACGGTCCTACAGAGCCGCAGCGTTGTCCGCCAGGGCTCTGAACGTTGTTCAGGATGTGCTTGACATGCCCATCGTTCCCGAGGGGATTTTCGGCTCCGCTCTTGCCTCCATGCAGAGGAGATGCGAGTCGAAAAAGAAGGAGGACGAGGCCCTCCACCTCTGCCTCCCTCGAAGGGCCCAGCCGCTGCCTTCGCAGCGGCAGCCCTTCGTCCAAGCTGCTCCGAACTCTGCTCGGTTCAAAATACCGAAAACGCAGAGGTCGCAGTCCGTCCCGAGTCCCCAGCCCAGGCAGGGGACGAGGGCGAGCTGGCCTAGAAAATCTCCGGTTCCGGCTGCAGCCCAGGCGCAGCCAACCCAGAATTTCGGCCAGCAGTCGAGGAAGAAGAAGCGAGCGGCGTGACAGCCCCTCCTTCTCCCCTCTGTGACAGAGCTGGAAGTCTACGGTTCCCCAGCTCTAAATGTGTTGCCGCCGCCTCGAGAGATGCCTCAACACCATCCTCAAGTCCGCGTAAACACATGTCACACACTTATTGATTTTTCTGTCATAAAACATTTTCCGCTGACGTATCCAGGCTTCGAGCCAAGGGCGTAGCTCGAAAATGAAAAGAAAAACAATAAAAACAATAAACAGTCCGTCAACTGTTCCCCTTCTGAGAGCAGCTACGGCCTCTCTCAAAGGGCGGACAATTGACGGGTCTGTGAAGGCACCACCGTCACGCGCATGCGCAGTGCCGGCTGGGGCTGTAAAGGCACCACCGTCACGCGCATGCGCAGTGCCGGCTGGGGTCGTGAAGAAAAGCCCGCCCCGAGGGCGAGCTGGCCTAGAAGGGCGAGCTGGCCTAGAAAATCTCCGGTTCCGGCTGCAGCTCAGGCGCAGCCAACCCAGAATTTCGGCCAGCAGTCGAGGAAGAAGAAGCGAGCGGGCGTGACAGCCCCTCCTTCTCCCCTCTGTGACAGAGCTGGAAGTCTACGGTTCCCCAGCTCTAAATGTGTTCCCGCCGCCTCGAGAGATGCCTCAACACCATCCTCAAGTCTGCATTAAACACATGTCACACACTTATTGATTTTTCTGTCACAAATCATTTTCCGCTGACGCATCCAGGCTTCGAGCCAAGGGCGCAGCTCGGAAAAATGAAAAGAAAAACAATAAACAGCCCGTCAACTGTTCCCCTTCTAAGAGCAGCTACGGCATCTCTCAAAAGGCGGATTACAGGCGGGTCTGTGAAGGCACCACCGCCACGCGCATGCACAGTGCCGGCTGGGGTTTTTAAAAGCACCACCGCCACGCGCATACGCAGTGCCGGCTGGGGTTGTGAAGGCACCACCGTCATGCGCAGTGTCGGTGGGGATTGTCGAAAGGGGGGCACCACTATGTTCAGACACTAGAGGGCCCCATAACACAACAAATAGAGACTCAGAGGGGAAGAGATGTGACATCTCCACTGGCTCTAAGGAGCATGCAGTGGAAGATGCTCACATCATCTGCCTGGGTTTTCAAGACAGTAACACGGGGCTACAGACTCCAATTCGCTGTCACCCCCCCTCGCTTCTCGGGCATTCTGCATTCGCAGGCCCGAGGAGAGTCAGCCCATATTCTGGAGAAAGAGATTCTCTCTCTCCTAGAAAAGAGGGCTATATCTATTGTACCCGCCGAGCAGAGTCAGGGCGGCTTCTATTCCAAGTACTTCCTCGTTCCCAAACGGGGAGGGAACGGAATTCGGCCAATACTTGATTTGAGGGCTCTGAACAAATATCTAAGAGGATATAAATTCAGAATGCTCACTCACACATCTCTGCTGCGGCTCGTGCGACAAGACGACTGGTTCACATCAGTCGACCTGAAAGATGCGTATTTTCACATCCCAGTATATTACCCACACAGGAAATATCTGAGATTCGCATTTCAGGGGATCTGTTATGAATACAGAGTACTCCCCTTCGGTCTGTCTCTCAGTCCAAGGGTGTTTGTACGATGTACGGAAGCCGCGATAGCCCCGTTAAGACAACAGGGTATTCGCCTGGCGACCTACCTGGACGACTGGCTGCTTCTCGCACAGTCGGAGCAGGAGGCTGTTACGCAGACGAATGTCCTCGTAAAGCACCTGCTCAACCTGGGTTTCATAATAAACACAGAGAAGAGCATGTTGTGCCCCGCGCAGACTATACTCTTCCTGGGTTTACACCTGAACTCGGTGCCCTTTTCAGCTCGCTTGTCAGCGGATAGAGTGAAAGCTTTCAGAGCTTGTCTCGCTCTCTTCCAGCTGCGCAAACATGTTCTCTTCAGATCATGCCTGCGATTGCTGGGGCTCATGGCGTCAGCCATCCTGGTCGTACGACTGGGACGCTTACACATGAGGGA